ACAGCAACCTCTAGCTCTTGGGCTTAGGTGATTCTCTTGCCTCAGCCTCCCAAGTAGCTGAGACCACAGGTGCCCGCCACAACGCCTGGCTATTTTTTGTTGCACTTTGGCTGGGGCCAGGTTTGAACCTGCCACCCTCGGTATATGGGACCGGTGCCCTACTCACTGAGCCACAGGTGCTGCCCAGACAGAGCTTTTTAAACTAACCCAACCAAAGTCACTAGCTAGAAAGTAGCAGAGCTATGACTCCCATCCTGGCAACTAGTGCTAGAGATGTCCCTGCCTTCTCTTCCTGTTACATTTCAGTGACTACCCCAAATCAGAGACTTACCTGGTGGACATGTCTCTCCATCCTAACTCTGCATGTGGCACACAAATATATATTGCAGTGGGATGAACAAATATAGCAGCCGGGCCAGACTCAGTGACTCACTCCTGTAATCCTAGTACTCTGGGAGGCCGAGGCGAGTAGATCGCCTGAGCTCATGGGTTTGAGACCGGCCTGAGCAAGAGTGAGAACCTGTCTCTAATAAAATAGCTGGGTGTTGTGGTGGGTGCCTGTAGTCCCAGCTACTCAGGAAGCTGAGGCAAGGGAATTGCTTAAGCCCAAGAGTTTGAAGTTGCTGTGAGCTATGATGCCATGGCACTCTACTGAGGGTGACAAAGTGAGGCTCTATCTCAAAAAAAAAACCAAACAGAAAACAAATACAGCAGCAGGATAGTACCAGGTTGCTGAGCCACCCTGAAGTGTGTGGAGGAAGATCTGAGCATGAGGGAGTTACCCATGGAATAGGTGCTCAACAGTATGTGCTCCGGGGAAGAGTGATTCTCAAATCGCCAGCCGCACTGAAGGGGTCCCCTGACAGGAAGCAGATGATGGCTATCTCTTCCCAGTTCTTAGAAAATTAAGTTAGAAAATGGCATTTTCTGATATATAATTTTTCTCATATATCTCATTTATTTATTTATTTTTTGCAGTTTTTGGCTGGGGCCAAGTTTGAACCCACCACCTCTGGTATATGGGGCTGGTGCCCTACTCCTTTGAGCCACAGGCGTATATCTTCTTAAACTTTGGGGTATTTGGCTACTCAAATTGAGTATAAAATGGCATCTAAGTTTTACACAAAATTATGTTTATTGTATTCTGTCACTGCTCAAGAATAACATTTCCTCACCTTTCCTTGCCTCCAGGACTGGGTGCCATCTGGGTCAAGGTGGTGTACTTGGGGAGTATTTAGTCTCAGTCCCCAACCTTTGGGCTGTTACTGACTTTTTCACTTGATTTACAGTTTCTGTCATTTGAAATGCTGACGGAGCTGGTCCACAGAGCCAACATGTACAACAACCATGAATTCTCAATGCACTTCATATGTGGCGGACTGTCTGCTGGCATGGCCACCCTCACTGTGCACCCTGTGGATGTTCTGCGCACCCGCTTTGCTGCTCAGGGTGAGCCCAGGGTGAGTGGTCGGGGGCCAGAGCAGAGGAGCCTGATAAGGAAGGTGTTATAGGAGTGGGGTTCTTCTTGCAGAAAGCAAAACTAGGGAGGGCTTAAGTTTTCAGTTCATCGGGCAGTCTGTAAAATCTGTGACTGTGGTCAGCATGAGGTGGGGTGCTCTCTGTCCTTGCCTTGAAGGAGCCTACAGCCTCCCTGGTGAAGCAGAACCTGCAGGAATGGACTGGGTCAAGGAAGGTGTCTGGGAAAGTGAGACTTAAAAACTTATTGCTGGGCCAGGCATGGTGGTTCACGCCTGTAATCCTAGCATTCTGGGAGGCTGAGGCAGGTGGATTGCCTGAGCTCACAGGTTCGATTGAGACCAGCCTGAGCTAGAGCGAGACCCTGCCTCTAAAAATAGCCGGGCATTGTGGCGGGTGCCTGTAGTCCCAGCTACTTGGGAGGCTGAGGCAAGAGGATTGCTTGAGCCCAAGAGTTTGAGTTTGTTGTGAGCTATGATGTCACAGTACTCTACCTAGGGCAACAAAGTGAAACTCTGTCTCAAAAAACAAAAACAAAGGCTCGGCACCTGTGGCTAAGGTGGCTGGGGCGCCAGCCACATACACCTAAGGTGGCGGGTTCGAATCCCCAGCCTGGGCCCGCCAAGCAACAATGACGGCTGCAACCAAAAAAATATGGCTGGGCGTTGTGGCAGGCACCTGTGGTCCCGCCTACTTGGGAGGCTGAGGCAGGAGACTCACTTGAGCCCAGGAGTTGGAGGTTGCTGTGAGCTGTGATGCCATGGCACTCTACCCAGGGGGATAGCTTGAGGCTCTGTCTCAAAAAAGCAAAACAAAACAAAAACAAAAACAAAAAAACACAAAACTTATTGCTGTACTTTGGGAGGCCAAGGTAAGAGGATCACTTGACATCAAGAGTTTGAGGCTTGGTGCTCATAGCTTAGTGGTTAGGGTGTCAGCCACATACACTGGGGCTGGCAGGTTTGAACCCAGCCTGGGCCTGCTAAACAATGACAACAACAACAAAAAAAAATAGCCAGGCGTTGTGGCAGGGTGCCTGTAATCCCAGCTACTTGGGAGCCTGAGGCAAGAGAATCACTTAAGCCCAAGAGTTTGAGGTTGCTGTGAGCTGTGATGCCGTAGCACTCTAGAGAGGGCAACATGGTGAGACTCTGTCTTAAAAAAAAAAGGCTTCATAGTGTATAAGGTAGAGAAAGGTTAAAAAGACATAATTATGAATTATAACCAAAAAACCCCATACTATCTGCCCCTGATTCTGATCTGATCCTTAGGAGTGACTACTATTAATACTTTTCCATTATTTACTTCTTTAATTCTAAGTAATATTCTTATTCTATAATTTAAATTATGGACATTAACTACTAACTGCTTCCTCAGAAGATGAGGATTTCCTCTGTTACCATCACCCTGGTGCACACCCCATCATCCTTCTAGTACAACTGAATGATAGATTTAGGCCAAATCAACACACAGTGATTATGTTATTAGGATTATGTAAATATTGTTACTGCTGAGTCTTCAAATGCATTATGATTACCTTTTCTTTTCTAGCTTTTGTCTTTCCTGAAGTTTGCAGTTGCCCAGTGTTCTGTATGCTCATCACAAATCCACCCCAAACTCAGTCTCTTGCTTGTGTCATCAGCCCTCTGCTATTCTGCATCTCCTACCATAGCCCCTCAGCTCTGGTGCCTGTAGCCTCTGGCTTCAGTTGCCAGCTCCTCTCTTAGGAATTTTTTTTTTTAGGGTATAAAAGTATAAGTTTATTTTATAGTAGAGAGAAGAAAGAGGGTGGGGGAAGAGATGAGAACAAGAGAAGGGAGCAGAGAGCAGGGAGTCTCTTAGGAATTCTCTTGATGCCTGAAACCTGTGTCTTTTCTTTCTTCATTAATCCCTCATTTTGGTGGGGTACATCCTGAAATTTAGCTTCCTGAGAGAGGCCTTGAATATCCAAAAATGCCTTCGGGTATAATAAAGAATATATTTGGTCTTGTCACCAATTCTTGACACAGAGCCCATAAAACTCTTGGGATTTCCTGAGCAAGAAGAGTGTCTCTTATTGTTCATAATTAGCCCCTTTCAATCACACTTGAGTTTTTTTTTGTTTTTTGTTTTTTGTAGAGACACAAAGTCTCATTCCATCACCCTCAGTAGAGTGCTGTGGCATCACACAGCTCACAGCAACCTCCAACTCCTGGGCTTAGGTGATTCTCTTGCCTCGGCCTCCTGAGTAGCTGGGACTACAGGCGTCCACCACAACACCCAGCTATTTTCTGTTGCAGTTTAGCTGGGGCTGGGTTTGAACCCGCCCTTTGTATATGGGGCTGGCACCCTACCCACTGAACTATAGGCACCGCTTGAGTTTTTTTGTTTTGGGGGAGTTTTTTTGAGACAGAATCTCACTATGTTGCCCTTGGTAGAGTGTTATGGCATCACAGCTCACAGCAACCTCAAACTCTTAGGCTCAATTGATCCTCTTGCCTCAGCCTCCTAAGTAGCTGGGACTACGGGCACCTGCCCCAATGCTGGGCTAATTTTAAAGACAGGGTCTTACTGTAGCTCAGGCTAGTCTGGAACTCCTGAGCTCAGGCAATCTACCTGTGTCTGTGTCCCACGTAATATCCTTTATAATAGACTGATAAATGTAAGTATTTCTATGAGTTCTATGAGCCATCTCAGCAAGTTATTGAACCCAAGAGGCGGTTGTGGGAACCCTAATTTATAGCTGACCAGAAGCTTAGGCCACAACCTGGGGCTTGCACCTGGCATCCCAGGTCGAAGCCAGTCTTGCGGGACTAAGTCCTCAACCTGTGGGATCTGACATTATCTCTAGGTAAATGGCGTCAGAATTCAACTGAAGTACAGGACACCAAGCTGGTGTCTGCTGGAGAACTGCTTGGTAGATGGAGGAAACCCTCACAAGTTATGGTGACCAGAAACTTCTGTGTATTTTCTTCAGAGCCTTCCCCTTGACTGATGATCTGTACCTTTTACTGTTGCTGAAGAGAAGCCCACAGTAGTTCCAATTATTTATTTTTTGGGGGGAGAGGGACACAGTCTCACTGTGTTGCCCTGGGTAGAGTACCAGGGCATCGCAGCTCACAGCAACATCAATCAGGCAATTCTCTTGCCTCAGCCTCCGGAGTAGCTGGGACTACAGGCACCTGCCACAATGCCAGGCTAGTTTTTTCAGTTTTTAGTAAGAGACAGGATCTTGCTCTTGTTCAGGCAGATCTCGAACCCCTGACCTTAGGTGATCTACCTGTCTCAGATTCCCAAAATATTAGGAATACAGGTGTGAGCCACCATGCCTGGCCTAATTATTGATCCTTTATATGGCACTCTTCTCTCCTCACTTTGGGAGCCAGACCCTGTCTAATGGAAAAAAACAATGCTGAACATATTTAGTCCTTTTTTTAAAGATGGGGTTTCATGCTGTTCCCCAGGCTGGAGTGCAGCACAATTGTAGTTCTCTACAGCCTTGAACTCCTGCCTCAGTCTCCCACGTAGCTGGACTACAGGTGCACACTACCATGCCTGGCCAATTTTATTATTTTATTTTATTTTATTTTATTTTTTGAGACGGAGCCTCAAGCTATCCCCCTGGGTAGAGTGCCATGGCATCACGCTCACAGCAACCTCCAACTCCGGGGCTCAAGTGAGTCTCCTGCCTCAGCCTCCCAAGTAGCTGGGACTACAGGCGCCCGCCACAACGCCTGGCCATTTTTTGGTTGCAGCCATCATTGTTGTTTGACGGCCCGGGCTGGGGATTCGAACCCGCCACCTTAGGTGTACGTGGCTGGCACCTTAGCCGCTTGAGCCACAGGCGCTGAGCCAATTTTTTCTATTTTTAATAGAGACAGAGTCTTGCTCTTTATTAGGTTGTTTTTGAACTCCTAAGCTCAAGTGATCTTCCTGCTTCGGCCTCTTAGAGTGCTAGGATTACAGGAGTGAGCCTCCATACCTGGCCCATGACTGTCCTCTTAGCAGAAGTTATGCTGGGTTTATGGACTCAGGGAAACAGACATGATGGGCTGTGTCCTTGGGCTTAAATCACTCCTCTGAGCTCACTCAGGTTCCATGTGTGCGGGTCCAGGTGTATAAAACCCTTCAAGAGGCTGTGGTGACCATGTTCAGGACCGAAGGCCCCTTGGTCTTCTACAAAGGCTTGAACCCCACCTTGATCGCCATCTTCCCCTATGCTGGCCTCCAGTTCTCCTGCTACAACTCCTTGAAGCAGGCATACGAGTGGCTAATGCCAACCACCGACGGAAAGAAAAGCGGTGAGACAGCCCTGACCCCAAAGGGAATGGTCCTACTCATACTATGAAATAACTTTTTCCTGTCAAAAGCTGAAATACCACACTTCTCTATACCTGGCTCTGATATAGTGAACAAAACAAATGAAGCCATTGAGAGATGACTTTATTCTTCCAGTTCCTGCCACACCTATCACTGGCATCACTGAAATTTATTTCCAGTGATTGGTCATGGTTTTCATTTTTGTCAGAAGTCTGGATTGCAAACTGTCTGGTTTTTTGGGTGTGGTTTTTTGGTTCTTGGTGGGCAGGGATGGGGAGGTGTGGGGCTTCCTGTGCTGCCGGCCTGACCTTGAACTTAGTTGCTGCCTCCAGCTGGGTAGTAGGGGTGGGAGGCTGCTACAGAAAGGATTTATTCTGTAAAATTTGGATCCAATCAAAAGGCCAGACTAAAGGATCCAGAAGACCACATGTGGCCCCAAGGCCACAGATTCCCCAGCCCTGAGTCACCCCTGGTGCCACCAGCCTGCCCCCAAAATCACTCTGGTCAAAAGAGGCAGTGTATGGCTCTCTTGCTCCTAGATTGCTTTTTTTTTTTTTTTTTCCAGAGACAGAGTCTCACTTTATTACCCTCAGTAGACTGCTGTGGCGTCACACTTCACAGCAACCTCCAACTCCTAGGCTTAGGTGATTCTCTTGCCTCAGCCTCCTGAGTAGCTGGGACCAAGTACTCTAGCCCGTCATAATGCCTGGCTATTTTTTTGTTGCAGTTTGGCCGGGGCCGGGTTTGAACTGGCCATCCTCGGTATATGGGCCCAGTGCCCTACTCACTGAGCCACAGGCACTGCCCTTTTTTTTTTTGAGACGGAGTCTCACTATCTCGCCCTCAGAGAGCTATGGCATCACAGTTCACAGCAACATCAAACTCTTGGGCTTAAGCGATCCTCTTGCCTCAGCCTCCCAAGTAGCTGGGACCACAGGCGCTGGCCACAATGCCTGGCTACTTTTTTATTGTTGTTGTCATTGTTGATTAGCTGGACCGGGCCAGGTTCAAACCTGCCAGCCCCAGTGTGTGTGGCCGGTGCCCTAATCATTGAGCTATAAGTGCTGAGACCTAGATCGAATTCTTTAAGATCAGAGGATGCAGCTTGGCGCCTGTGGCTCAAGTGGCTAAGGTGCCAGCCACATACACCCGAGCTGGCGGATTCAAATCCAGCCCAGGCCCAACAAACAACAATGACAGCTGCAACCAAAAAGTGGCCGGGTGTTGTGGCGGGCACCTGTAGTCCCAGTTACTTGGGAGGCAGAGACAGGAGAATCACTTAAGCCCAGGAGTTGGAGGTTGCTGTGAGCTGTGATATCACGGCACTCTGCCCAGCGCTACATACAGCTTGAGGCTCTGTCTCAAAAGGAAAAAAAAAAAAATCAGAGGATGCTTGTGGGGTTTGGGCTTGTGGAGGATTAGAACTTCTGACCTTTACATTGTCCACCACAGACTGCATTTCCCTCATCCTTTCAATCCCACTTCTCTGGTTCAGGGAACTTCAAAAACCTGCTCTGTGGCAGTGGAGCAGGAGTCATCAGCAAGACCCTTACATATCCCCTGGATCTCTTCAAGAAACGGCTGCAGGTTGGAGGGTTTGAGCACGCCCGAGTTGCCTTTGGCCAGGTGAGCCATTCATGCAGAGAACTCTGACTCTTGTCCCTGAGCACATAGTAGAGCCAGCAGTCAGCTCCTGCCCTTTGGGCAGTATTGTTCAGCTCCCCACATCCTTTTTACTCACAGCCTGTCCTTGGGGATCCCTAAGCACACAGGAAAGCCACAGCAAAGCCCTATGAGTCTTGGGTACCATGGCAGGATCTGGACCAAAGAGGATTCAATGACTGCTCTTAAAACCTGTCCAGGAGGGCCAGGTGCAGTGGCTTAGGCCTGTAATCCTAACACTCTGGGAAACTAAGGTGGATGGATTACCTGAGCTCACAGGTTTGAGACCAGCCTGAGCCAGAGTGAGACCCCCATCTCTAAAAATAACCAGGTGTTGTGGCAGATGCCTGTAGTCCCAGCTACTTGGGAGGCTGAGGCAGGAGAATAGCTTGAGTCTAAGAGTTTGAGGTTGCTGTGAGTTATGACAACATGGCACTCCACTGAGGGTGACAAAGTGAGACTCTGTCTCAAAAAAATAAACAACGAAAAAACCCTGTACAGTACAGTTAGGAAAGGGGTGAATTGAATTTGAGCAACTAAGCATACATTAGAAGTGTGTGCCATTCAGAGAAAGGAATGTTATATCCTTTTTTATTTTATTTTATTTTTTCTATATGGGCAACAGTGGCCTTTATTTCGACCCTGGTGAGAGTGGCTGAGTTTGAGAAGGAAATCAGCTCCTTTTTTGAGACAGAGTCTCACTGTCACCCAGTATAGAGTGCTGTGACATCATCACAGCTCACAGTAACCTCAATCTCTTGGGCTCAGGCAAACCTCCAGTTATAGCCTTCCAAGTAGCTGGGACTTTAGGCACCCACCACCACACCTGACTAGTTTTTCTATTTTTAGTAGAGAGGAGTTCTCTCTCTTGCTCGGGCTGGTCTGATATCCCTGAGCTCAGGCCATCTACCCACCTCAGCCTCCCAGAGTGTTAGGATCCTACGCATCAGCCACCTTACTGGGCCAGGAATGTTGTATTCTTTTTTTTTTTTTGAGACAGAGTCTCATGCTGTTGCCCTGGGTAGAGTGCGGCGATGTCATAGCTGACAGCAACCTCAAACTCTTGGGTTTAAGCAATTCTCTTGCCTCAGCCTCCCAAGTAGCTGGGACCACAAAGCATCTGCCACAATGCCCAGATATTTTTGTTGTTGCAGTTGTCATTTAGTAGGCCCAGGCCTGGTTCAAACCTGCCAGCCTTGGCGTATGTGGCCAGCGCCCTACCCACTGAGCTACAGGCACCACCCCAGGAATATTGTATTCTTCTTAATCACTCATCAGGTGCTCAGATTTTCACAATTGATCCCTCCTTAGCTCCTCTTTTTGTGTAAGGCCTTGGTGGTTGTCATCAGTGGGCAAGGAGGGAGTGGGAGTGGGACAAGAGTGGGTAATTCTAGGGCTTTTACTCCAGATCCTGGAAATCTGGATGTCAGAGCATGACGTAACATGCCTGACAAACGTTAACAGAGAAGAAGGGCACAGAGGAAGGGAAAGGAGAGAGTATGCCTTACTTGAGAGAAGAAAAGGAATTGGGCTTAGAGTTTTGTTACACCTTCTTTGTAGGAAACTTTAGAAAATTCAGATAGAGAAAAAATCAAAACTCCTGTACTTACACTGTGACTGAGAGCTAACCACATGGAATCTTCTGGTATAGTTTTATTTCTTTTCATGAATAAATACAGATGTACTATTGAATAAAAATGGAGTCATACTGTATGCAAGGTTTTGTAACTTCCTTTTTACACTTACCACTTTGTCCTGGAGTGACAGTTTGAATTTAGACAGGGAGAAAGCAGAGACTGGTGTAACCCACTTTGGCCAGAGGTGGAAGTGGTACACCGTAGGTCAGGGAGGGAAGCTGAGGCCAAATGGTAGAATGCCTTGAGGACAGGCCTTGGAGCTTGAACTTGATTTTTTTTTTTAATTGAGACAATGTCTCACTTTGTCATCTTGGAAGAGTGCCCTGGTGTCATAGCTCAGAGCAACCTCCAACTCTTGGGCTTAGGTGATTATCTTGCCTCAGCCTTGTAAGTAGCTGGGACTACAGGTACCCACCAAAACGCCCTGCTATTTTTATAGATAGGGTCTCCTTCTGGTTCAGGCTGGTCTCCAACCCCTTAGCTCAGGCAATCCACCCTCCTTGGCCTCCCATAGTGCAAGGATTACAGGTGTGGGAGCTATGCCCAGCCTGCCAGCAGCCAACTCAATTGGAGTGACTTTTCTCTTCCCAGGTGCGGCACTATAGGGGTCTTGTGGATTGTGCCAAGCAGATTCTGAAAGAGGAAGGTAGCCTGGGCTTATTCAAAGGCCTGACGCCCAGCCTGCTGAAGTCTGCCCTCTCCACGGGCTTTATGTTCTTCTGGTACGAACTCTTCTGTAACATCTTCCACTGCATGAATACTGCAGACCGCCTGCACTGAGGGCAGGAAAGGCTGGAGGTCTTCCCCAGAGGCAACCTGCCAAGAGATGGAAGCCTTGGTCTCCACTAAGTGGGGCCATCTGGCCATCCCTGCAGGCCTAAGTGGGAAGAGCCATTGACAGCAGGGTAGCAGCCTCACAGCCGTCAGGCTGGAACACCACAGAAACACAGGGACTTTCTCTACGACAGCAGGCAGACAGAGTGCAGGACCTGGGCTGTGAGGTACCAGCAGCGTGGAGAGGAGGAAAATGAAGTTGCTGTGTCATCTTCATCTAGCCCAAATCCAAAGGAAACAGATGCCATCCTCTCCCCATGTGCTGGGAGAACTCTGCTAGTTGTGGATGGGGCCACAGCTTGAGTGCAGAGGGCTGGCCTCGCAGGAGTCTGGTCCCAACACCTGGCCTGTATTTCCCACCAATCTATTTACAGACATTAAAGCTAAATGCACATTCCTTATCCCATTCCTCCCTCTTCCCTACAAATCACATCCATGCCTTCTTCAAGTTCCATTTTTCTGAATAGCCCCAGCCCTCAGCACTTTGCTTCCAGTGCTGGAGACTCCAGACTGAGCCAGTCACCTTTTTTTTTTAATGCCACCCTCAATAGAGGCATCACATCACAGCTCACAGCAACCTCAAAGTCTTGGGCTTAAGCAGTTCTCTTGCCTCAGCTTCCTAAGTAGCTGGGACTACAGTTGTCTGCCATAACACCTATTTTTTGGTTGTAGTTGTCGTTGTTTAGCAGCCTTGGGCGGGGTTCAAACCCACCAGCTCTGGTATATATGGCTGGTGCCCTAGAGGCTGAGTTACAGGCACTGAGCCAAGCCAGTCACTTCTTGATGCAGTATCCATAACTTTGCATCTGCACATGCATTGCCAACGGGGCCATTCTCTCCAGGACAGGCCTGGTACAGCCATGGACACACTCAGCCTTGCTGGGGTGAGGAGCTTCTAGCTGGGCATTGGCATCAGTGCCCAAAGTGTTCCTCAGCACAGAGCAGGGTGCTATACAGCCTCCCCATGACCCAAGAAGGGCTGCAGCTCTGATGCAGCCCAGTGACAAATGGCAAAAGGAAGGGGCTGGGCAGATAGCCTGGTGAGGGCACAGCTGGGGTCTGGAGTATTACCAGGGGACCTCCACAGGTGTCTAGATGCAGAGGAGAAACTTCAGTTCTAAGGTAAGATAGGAGAAATCAACAGATGACCACCTCTCCACCCACTTGCCTGCTTCATAGCAGGCTGGGGATGTGCTGACAGCAGGAACTAGGAGGGACCAGCAGGACTTTGTCCCGCCCTTGCTTCTGGCTCTCCCACCAGCCTTGGCCTTGGCATGGACAGGCAAGCAGGCCCTGGTGGGTGGGTCCGACTCCTCTCTTCTCTGGGACTTTGTGGTCTTTGTGTCCCTGAAATGCCTAAGCTTCTCAGCTCTTGGTGCTAATTCTGAAAGTCCAACCTATGGTTGGGGCTTCTGACACTCAAGGCTTGGGCCTGGGGCTGTAGGGAGGCAGCTGCCTGAAATTTTTTTTTTTATGAAATTCCATTGAAGTAAAGATTTTTTTTTTCTTTTTTTGAGACAGTCACTTTATCACCCTCAGTAGAGTGCTATGGCATCACACAGCTCACAGCAACCTCCAACTCCTGAGCTTAGGCAATTCTCTTGCCTCAGCCTCCAGAGTAGCTGGGACTACAGGTGCCC